CTGGAGGAGACTTGGTACTTCGTTCAACATCCACTATATGATGGAGTAGTGCCAGTAACAATCTCAAAAAGATTCTTATTGGTGGAAGAGCTCTTTTGGGCATTGAACAAATTTGAGCCGTATCCAAAAGTTTTACCCAATTTTTCTGCGAAGTAGAGATAAAGTGCCGAAGATATTCTTCTAGCATAGAATTGAAGCACTCTGTCTATCCGTCAGATTGTAGGTGAAAACTAGAATTCATGCTCAAAGTTGAACCAAGAAGTTTGAACAACTCAATCCAAAATATGGCAGTGAAACGAGGATCTCGATCATTGACGATATCCTTAGGCAGTCCCCAGTATTTGACAATATGTTTGAAGAAGAGTTGAGATGTCTCTTCCGCAGATACATACTTAGGCGCTGCAATGAAAGTTGCGTATTTTGATAGACGGTCCACCACGAGGATGATAGTGTCAAAATCCTCAACTTTTGGCAACCCAATAATGTAGTCAATCGATACACTTTCGAATGGTCGGGTTGGGACAGAAAAGGGCTCCAGCAAGCCAGCCTTTTTCTGATGATTTGCCTTATTTTGTTAACAAATAAGATAGGATTTTACATAGGTTGCAATGTCGTCCCGCATTTGAGACTAGTAGTATGCATGTTGCAATAGTGCACAAGTACGTTCCTCTTCAGAATGTCCTACCCAAATCCTGTCGTGACATTCCGTAATTAGTGATTTCCTCAAATCTCCGCCCTTATGAACATATAGGCGGTCTCCCTTTGTCTTCACTAGTTCCCCATCGAGCCAGAACTATTAAGTTTTGCCCTACTTGATAAGATTGACCAAATATTGAGTAGCCGAGTTCTTTTCTATAAGTGCCCGAATTTGGTCTCTTGTGTTCGTGGTGACGGCGCTCCCTAAAAGAGCAGCCATGGAGCAAATGGTAGCCAAATCGGCTCGTCGACTAAGAGCATCAGCAACATGATTACTAGATTCGGGACGATACTCTAGCATAAAATTGAACTCTGAAAGGAATTCCTACCAATGAGCCTGCTTGCTCGATAGTTTTGGTTGGAACATGAAGTGACTAACCGCAGTGTTATCTGTCTTCACAATAAATGGAGACCTAAGCAAATAGAGACGCCATCCTCTGAGACAATGGACTGCTGCCAACAATTCATTTTCATGCGTCAAGTAACGAAGTTCTGTTTGGTTTAACTTCCGGCTCTCATGTGCACCGGCTGTCCTTCTTGCATAAGCACTTCACCAAGTGCAAAATCTGAAGCATCTATATAAATTTCAAATGGTTTAGTCATATTTGGTAAGGCTAAAATTGGGTTCGTCCACATGGACTTCTTCAACCTTTCAAAAATAGTTTGGCATTGGGACGACCAATCCCAATCTTTATCCTTCTTTGTCAATTCGATAAGTGGCAATACAATTTTTGAGTAGCCTTTCACAAAGCTTCGATAGTAATTGCATAACCCAAGAAATGAACGTACATCATGTACGATTTTTTGTGGTTACCAATATTTGATGGCTGTAACCTTCTTCTAATCCATGCGGATTTTACCTTGTTCAATGATGTGACCCAAGAAATCGATAGATGTCTGAGTAAATGAGCATTTAGACAGTTTAGCATAGAGTTCGTTCTCCCGTAACCGATTAAAACCTTGCCTCACATGTTGGACATGTTCCTCCAATGTCTCGCTGTAGATTACTATATCGTCCAAGTACAGCATGACAAAATCATCTAAGAACCTGTGAAGTACCTGATCCATCATAGTACAATACGTTGCTAGAGTGTTTGTCAAACCAAAAAGCATTACTTTAAATTCAAAGGCTCCATTTCTGGTTACCACCGTAGTCTTTGCTTCATCTCCCCCTTGATCTGAACTTGCCAGTATCCATACCTAAGATCAATTTTTGTGTAATACTTCACCCGACTCAGTCGATCGAAGCAATCCGCAACCAGTGGGAAAGGATAGCTATTCTTTACAGTAATCTTGTTCTAGGCTCGATAGTCACAGCACATTCTAAGAGAACCATTAGCCTTTTTCTGAAACAACACAGGAGCTCTGTAAGGTGACTTCGCAGGTACAATGATTTCACTCTCCAACATTTCTCCCAATTAATTCCTAAGCTCTTCAAGCTCAGGCTGAGACATACGGTATGGTGCCCTGGCGGGAGGTTTGGCACCTGGGATAAGTTCAATTTCATGATCAATCGTCCTTCTTGGTGGTAATTTCTTTGGTAATTCGTCCGACATGATGTCTTCAAATTCCCAAATAAGCCTTTTAACGGATTTTGAAATAGGACCAGTCACCTCTTCGATCTCCTCTAATCGAAGAGTACACAGAAGAGAAGGTTCATTTTTTCTTGAAACCCTTACTAAATTGCATGGCTAAGATATTCTTCTCGCCCATCCTTCCAACTTGTGTAGAGATGACACACGGCTTATTACCCATCATCATCAACGAATCGGAATATGGCAACACTGTTGTCTTAGTATCCCGAAGAAATTCCAATCCTAGAATAAGCTTGAAATCATCCATCTGAACTGCAGATAAATTTGTCCTTCCCTTGAAAGGACCTGCTTTGATCAACACTGATTTCGCCACTCCATCTATTGGTTGAGCAGCGAAGTTGATTGCTTTAACTTTCCCACTACCTTTTTCCAGAACAAGTCCGAGTCGCTCTACTTCGGTACATGCAAGGTAGTTGTGAGTAGCATCAGTATCCACCATAGCCCCGATTGGCTTCCCGTTGATCTTCACATCAATGTACATTAAACATTTGGCTCTACAAATTCGAGCCTTCACTTCTTCCATCCTTGCATCTTTCAAGGGGACATCATTTTTTTCAGCAACCCGATGCGAAAGTGTATTGCACCGATGTGAAAATGCCCCAACTACGTCCTCATCCTCTTCGGAGTCAGTCTCACCATGATAACTAACATGTGAGGCCTCTTACTTTGAACTTGACCCACCACTTGCTAGCTGATATTTTTTCACCATCCATTTCTGAGGACACTCCGACACCCGATGAGGTCATTCGCATAAAAAAGTACAACAATTTGGGAGTGGTATCAGCTCGGCCCTCTGTTGCTTTTCCTTTGTTCCAATTTTTATTGTTGCTACTGCTGAAATTTTCTTGACGGCTATTATGATAATTTCCCTGAAAGTTACGGGTGCTTTGATAGGCTCCTCTCTTATTCTGAGAGTAACGCTCTCCCTCATTTGTGTTCGAGCTGGGTCTGTAAGATCTGTTACCACCTCCAATTGCTTGATTACTCCTCGAAGGTTGATCTTTTCTAGATTCCATTTGGTATTCGCTCAAGCATTCGACGGCTCCCATGGCCGTGCTCAAATCAGTAACTTTCTGTCTTTGAAGTTCCGTGCGTGTCCACGGTTTCAACCCATCCTTAAAGGTGAAGAGCTTATCCTTTTTTTGACATATCTCGAATATTCAGCATATGTCTCGAAAAGGATTTCACATACTCCCTAATAGAGCTTGTATATTTTAGGTCTCGAAGTGCCCGTTGAGCCTGATACTCGACATTTTTCTGGAAAATTTGCGATCTGATCGCTTCCTTGAGGAGATCCTAAGAATCTATTTAGACCTTGTTGGCCTGAATGTCAGCATATTTGGTTCCTCACCATAGTTTTGCATCTCCACCCAGATACATGATAGCTATGGTTACCTTTCTAGCTTCGTCTTCGATCAAAACTGCGAGAAAGTACTGTTCCATGTCAAACAAAAAGTTTTTGACTTCTTTTGCATCACTGCCCCTCCGTAGGTACACGGTTCAGGAATTCTGAGTCTAGGAGCATACTCAGGTATGGGAGCTTGCTCATTGCTCAACGCACGTTTGAGTACTCGTAATTGAGCTCTCAACGCTTCCATTTCATCCTGCAGATCAGGAATGATTGCAACAGCTTCTGTCATTGCTGCGCAAGCCCTTTGACTTTTATCCAGTTGGATGTGTAATCCACGAATCTCAAATTCTGTCATCTCAACTTTTTCCTCAAGACCGTCCATGACATAGCACAAACTAGTAGTTGTCTCATCAAGTTCATCAACGCGTTGTTTGTAATATTCTTCTTTTAAGGCTCTCCCACTTCTATGGTGTGGGATGTAATCGGATCATAGCTTTCTTATCGAAGGTCGTGAGCCGTAGCTCTGATACCAACTTTCACGGAGTACCTTTCTTCTTGGCATAGAAAGGAACATCGTGCGGCAGTAGTCTGCTCGACTAGACTACCTTCCACCTTTTCTCGATTGTGTCGAAAAGAAAGAAAATTTGATTACAATTTTGTAAAAAGTTTACAACAGAGAATTTGAATACATTGAAAGTAAATTGAACATTGATTGATGAAAACTGAACATTACAATTGACGAAAGTAGAAAATTACAATTGTTGGTGCAAGGGAAGCGGACACCAGTGAGCTTGAAAGATTTTTGAATGACTAATACCCTCTATAATAGTATTCAGAACAAAAATTTAAGTGACAGGAGTAGATGTTTAAAAGACAATGAATTATACTAAACGTTTACTAATACCAGAACTATTTTACAATTGAAATAACTATTACAATGAAAAGAAAATTACAACTCAAATTTGAAATAATATTTACAATGTGCGGTCGAAGTTGGGCAAACTGCGCCTGTGATAGTGTCAAGGGGCTAAGTAAAGCTGCGGTCCTTGACACCGTGTGTTATGCCTCGCCTTTGAGGCTTGTTCGTAGGGACTGGCACTCAGGCATGACTTGCCACAAGCAATGCAAGTCTATGATTACAGGCACTTAAATTAAGTGCTAGATGGAGGCCCGGTCTGGCCCTTACGACACCTAATTAACTCATTACATTGGGTAATTGTTTGTAAATTCAGAGCTATGTTGGCAAGGAATTATATAAAATCCAAAGTTAAGGACCAAAGTGAAAAACCTTCTTTTAAGGTTAACGTACTTTTAATTTTAACAGCACAAAGGTTCGTATGTCGTACGATATTTGAGAGAGAGAGAGAGAGAGATGTATGCTCGATCTATATAAGCAAAGATAAATCACCTTCGAGATACATATATCATTTCGCTCTTCGATTGAGAGAGATTTTGTATGGTCAAATTTAGAATATAGATAGTTTCTATTGGGCATTTCCCTCGTCAAAATCTATGTTAATCTTTGCTCTTTTAGCATTATTTTCAGTGGGTTTGCAGTGAAAGAAAAGCGTAAAGATACGGGCTTTCCGGATCGTTGAATCTGTGTTCGCATCATTTGATGTTTTCGGTACTAGATTTAGTTTTTCAATTATTCTGTTAAATTAATTTTTTTTAAAGAATTTAGCGTATTGTTTAAAATAGTTAATTGGTTTCTTTTGGTTAAAGTAATGAACTTTAGTATCGATTTTTTCAGGATTTGTGTTCTGATTTAATGAAAATCTAGATCTTGTAATCGTCCCTTCTAACCGTTTCGCGCTGGCACTTAAAGCTTAGCTATTCAGTGCTGTCTCAACCTCATAATCTGCATTGCCTGTTCAAGTTTAAACTTTTTTGTGTTTCCTTACTTTTGAAGCAATCTCATGCTTGATTTGAGAGTTTAAATAACAGTTAAAGTCAGAAAAATGGGGGCTTCCTTAAGTTTGTTCGCAATTTTGCGTATCTTTCCCCATTGGTTGATTAATATATTATGTTGTGTATGCCATGCTTCCTTGATCCAGGTTTTAGTTGAATTTTAATGTTGTTTGAAGTTAAATGATGAAAGATGAGTTATTGATGTCTATTTAACATCTAGATCTGCTGAATTCAGTTTTTTGAATCTTCCTGATGACATTGCTAGAGAGGTTTTACTCTTGAACTATACATTTGTGTTTTCAATATTTTAGATTTTCTAGTGCTTGTCTTAACCTTAATATTTGCTAATGTACATTGTTTCCAAGGTTTGGAGTTAGCCTTAAGAGGAAATGGTGATTAGATAGTAAAGGGTCTAAAGTTCTGCAAATGGAGATTGTTTGATGGGCCATTTATTTTCTTGAATTTGATATTGATCTGGGATAACGCTTAATGTGCACGTGCATACCTTTTGCATTGTTTCATTATCATACATTTACACGCGACAGACATTTACATTTTAACAAAAAGTATAATAGAAGAGCAATGCATATTGCCAGCTACTAAAAAAATGAGTAATAAATGTTTCAGGGCTGTGATGGCAAACAAATTCAATTCAGGTGACAGTAGGACTAGGAGTTCTGTTTCGATTTTTATAATAGCTGGTTTGTGCTGTTTCTTCTACTTACTGGGAGCATGGCAGAGAAGTGGGTTTGGGAAAGGAGACAGTATAGCATTGGAGATGACTAAGAGTGGAGAAAACTGCAATATCCTCCCAAATCTCAATTTTGAGACCCATCATGTTGTTGAAGCCGGAACCATTAACGATTCTGATTCAGAGGTGAAAGTGTATGAGCCATGTACTTCTCGCTACGCGGATTACACTCCTTGCCAAGATCAAAGGCGTGCCATGACTTTTCCAAGGGACAATATGAACTACCGTGAGAGACATTGCCCTCCTCAAGAAGAGAAGTTGCATTGCCTTATTCCAGCACCTAAAGGTTATGTTACCCCATTTCCATGGCCTAAGAGTCGTGATTATGTTCCCTATGCCAATGCACCGTATAAGAGCTTGACAGTAGAGAAGGCTATTCAGAACTGGATTCAGTATGAGGGCAATGTGTTCAGGTTCCCTGGTGGAGGAACACAATTTCCTCAAGGGGCTGATAAATACATTGACCAGCTTGCTTCAGTAATACCAATTGATAATGGAATTGTTCGAACTGCATTGGACACCGGTTGCGGGGTATGATGATTGCTGCAGAACTCTCTTGAATAACTAATGCGCTTATTTTTATGTTTCTCTTCGAATGCCTTTTCCAATCTTCAGGTAATCTAGCTGTTCTCAACTTTCTGAAAATGGGTTATTGTGTTAGGTTGCAAGTTGGGGTGCATATCTTTGGAAGAGGAATGTTATAGCAATGTCGTTTGCACCAAGAGATTCCCATGAAGCCCAGGTTCAATTTGCTCTTGAAAGGGGAGTACCTGCTGTTATTGGTGTTCTTGGAACTGTAAAGATGCCATACCCATCTAGAGCTTTTGATATGGCGCACTGTTCTCGGTGTCTAATTCCTTGGGGAGCAAATGGTAAGAATCTAATGTTAAATCATCTTGTTCTGTGAATCTTCTGTGGACAGACAATACTATATATTATATAATAGCAATTCATAGGCGGATAATCAAATTCCAAAATATGACCCAACACCTTCCTCTCCGTGTGAAAAAACCCTATCCAGCTGTATATTATTTTTACATTCACTTGGATTATTTCCGCTGAATAACTTGTCATGCACTTAATATTTTACTCTTTCTCATTGCAGATGGAATGTACATGAAGGAAGTTGATCGGGTTCTTAGACCTGGTGGCTACTGGGTCCTTTCTGGCCCTCCCATCAATTGGAAGACTAACTACAGAGCATGGCAACGTCCTGAGAAGGAACTTCAGGAAGAACAAAGGAAGATCGAAGAGATTGCTAAACTTCTCTGCTGGGAGAAAAAGTCTGAGAAGGGTGAAATTGCGATATGGCAAAAGAGAATGGATGCTGATTCATGTCGTTCTGCTCAAGAAAATTCTGGAGCTACATTTTGTAAAGCTGACGACCCTGATGATGTCTGGTAAGTAGTTACCTTGCACGAGTGTACATATGCAATCATGGTTTGTGTAAGGAAATTAGAATTTTTTACTTATAGCAGTTGCATTAGGATATGTAACACACTCCGTAAAGTGCCTCGAGTTGCATATTCTTTGTAGGAACAAAGTTTCAAAACTGAATCATTCATGTGCTTTCTTTTGGCATATAAGGTACAAGAAAATGGAGCCATGTATTACTCCATATAACAAAGCTAACAGAGATGAAGATTCTGCTGTGGATGTCAAGCCTTTCCCTGAAAGGCTATATGCCGTTCCCCCTAGAATTGCTAGTGGGTCTTTACCTGGAGTTTCTGTTGAGGAATATCTGGAGGACAACAAGAAATGGAAAAAGCATGTGAGGGCATATAAAAAGATCAACAAAATCATTGACACAGGAAGGTATCGCAACATTATGGATATGAATGCCGGATTGGGAGGATTTGCTGCTGCACTGCAATCTCCTAAATTGTGGGTTATGAACGTTATGCCCACTATCTCAGAGAAGAATACCCTGGGTGTTGTATATGAAAGGGGGCTTATTGGTATTTATCATGACTGGTATGACTTTCTTTGTCCTCACAGTTTCTAGTCTCTGTAATCGTATCTTGTATCGTGTCTAGCCCTTAATTCACTTTGTCACTTGATATTTGAAGTTTTTAAACTAGGAAGCACTAATAGAGACACAAGTGTCGGACATGACACAGGACGGACATGCTGACCCAATTTTTAAAAAAAGTACTGACACGTCTTTGACACGCTGATTAAAAAATAATATTAGTTTTTTTTTTTCCTATAAAGAAAATTTGTTTTTATTAATTTTGACAGGTCGACAATGTATCTTCCAGTGTGTTGGCAACATGTCCAAATGACGTGTTGTCCGGTTAAGCTTCCCATGTTGTGGCTTGCCCTAATATAACAGAGACTCATGAATTGGACCTGTGATAGGCCAGCACGGTGTTGTGTATTTGAAATACTTGGGATAAAATAATTACCCCATGCATTTATTTTGTCAAGCATGACTTTGTGGTGTGTTTTTATAAGCTCAATCAGTTTTGAGCATCATTCTTCTGGTTTAGCTTTAATATTTGATTTTATACATTACGCTTAAAACTCGAAAATAGAAGTCCTTTTGCTCATTGTAATCTTTCTGATTTAGGTGTGAAGCGTTCTCTACATGTCCAAGGACATATGACCTCATCCATGCTAATGGTGTTTTTAGCTTGTACAAAAATAAGTAAGTATTACGTTTATGCGACAATTCTGCTTTCATTTGAGATATTGATGCTTGATAGACATTAAGGGTCTCTTTCCATGGATTCACATTGGAGCAATCGTTTGTATTAATAAATTATAAATCTGAAATTTGATTCTCCAAACAAGTTAATATATATGGTACGACGGTGATGTATTCTATTGATACCTATTCTAAGTACCTACTGAAAAAAACTAGAAGACTTTTACTTTCCTTGTAATGTTGGGTTCAGTTCCCCTAAGGAGATTGGGCAGTTGACTTAAAATAGATGGGGATTGTGACCTTTAACTTTGATCAACTTGTTACAGGTGTAACTTCGAAGATATCCTTCTGGAGATGGACCGGATACTGCGGCCAGAAGGTGCAATTATCTTCCGAGATGAAGTAGATGTGCTTATCAAGGTGAAGAAGATTATAGGAGGTATGAAATATGACTCAAAGTTAGTAGATCACGAGGACGGTCCTCTTGTTCCCGAGAAAATACTTGTTGCAGTTAAACAATATTGGGTAGGCAACTCCACTTCAGTGCAGTGAAAAGCCAGTACAATGTCAGCGCGGGACTAGCAGACAACAGGATTCCGGGAAAAATTCTTTTATCCCTCGTGCAACTCCACAGTTACAAGCTTCGTTTGGCCTGCTAGAAAAGTTCTGGCAGTGGATGTGGATTCATTGGTCCCAATTGATTCAACTGTACTTGTAACGTTAACATTTATTTATCCTTTGAGCTTCTTTTACTGTGATGTGTCTCCAGTCTTGCTAGAACTTTAGAATTCATTTAAGAAACTAGGAAAATTTACCAGATATTTCCTTTTTGATTTGATAATTTTTTAAAGCTATTTACAAGTCTGTGGGAGCAATCGCAATTCGAGTTATACTATATGTACAAAGTTGGTTTACAAATTAATATTTATACCAATCATTTTAAAAATAGGTTTTTAAATAATTGGAAATTAATGGTCTGAATTTTGTCAATATTTATTTTGTCAACCAAATTTTTGAACAAACTTTGTACAAATAGCGTAATATATTGCAGTTCAGTATGGACACGCCCGATCATATCAAAGTAGATTTGATTTGATTTGAGGCCTTGAAGATAAGAAAACAGTCGAGATTGTTTGTGGTTTGTAATCGTTCTTGTTCAAATCAGTGATGCTTTGCAGGTATTTGATAGATTGATTGCTCATTACTTATCTATAATTGAATTACCACTATGAATGAGAAGACTGGTGTGACTTTTTTTTTTCTTTTAACCTTTGTGAGCAAGGGCTCATGGCTTTTTGGGAAAATCTGCTAAAGATTATCGCTAAATTGCTGGATATAATGTGTGACGTTAGTCTACTCTTCGAGGACATGGTACAAGGTTTGTCTCAGTTAACATTTCCTCCTATGACTTGATTGCTTAAAGTGCTTTACGACCACAATCTTGTAGGATTCTCGATAAATTCTTCGATTTCTTTCAAAATATTTGCTTTTCACGGTCCTTGAATATTTGCGATATTAAGGAATATTTAGGGTGCCATTTGGGTCAAGCGTTCTAATGTTTTGAGAAGCAGCACGAATGTTGCACTCTAGATGGCGAAGCATCACTAGTTTGTGCTTTCATCTGAAGTGGCACGATCAAATTGTTGAAAATTAAAAGAAGTTTCAACCTTTCAAAATATTAAAGCACTTTAATTTTAAGTTTTAATATAAAATTAAAATATATGGTAACCTATGTTTTAATGGTATAATTGTGGTTTAATTGTGGGGTTAAATTTATCTCTATAAAAGGGAGTTCTTCATTTGAGGAAAACAACTTGAGATATAAGGAAAAATAAAATATTATATCTATACTTTATACTATATTTTGTGGCAACTTGATGAAAGGCTCGATCTTTATCTTTCTATGGTCGTGCCCATAGAAAAAGAGTCACATGAGTTTTATCTTAGAGCCGTGTAGTGTCGAAAGAACCCGCACAAAGAAGAGGCAACACGACTTTAGGACAGCGTCCTCGACGTGACTCCCAAGGCTTGGTTTTCTAACATTCTTCTTGTTTTATATTATTGTTGAATTTACGTTTATGTCATTTAATTGATCATGCTAATTTCTAAATAAATCTAGATAGAAATCACCCAATTTCCCAACAATCTAAAGTCGTGTTTGTGATTTGTATGTAGACAATTCCTTTTATGTGATATATGTGTAAATTATTAGTTTTATGATCTCGAACAATAACATAGAAAAATTCCCAAAGTGGCATTATCTTGCAACAAGTAGGGACTAGAACATCCTTACAAACTTATATCTATGTAAATGAAAATTCATCAATTTTTCGCTAAGGGCGGATGGCATCATGATAGCACCAAGAAATTATTTAAAAAAAAAAAAAATTGCATTACTGATTTAGAGTAATAATACAAGGCAAATCAATGATGCATGCAATTGAAGCCGAGTATATCGGTAGAGGATTTTATTTTTAAACATTCATGTGATTTGAGTTTTGTTTAATCTGTCATTTTCTTTAGCATGTGTTTTTTATAAAATTTTGAAGAATAAAACTTATTGAAAATCATAGATGAATTCTTGTCCTAAATATTGTAACATAAACCAATTTTAATTTTCAATTTTTATTATCTTTTAATGCATAAATATTATAAAAAAAAAAAGTTAAAAATCTTAATTGTGGAGTTTAACTTACTTTTAAATGCATTAATTGTGGGTGGTAGGACTTCAGCCATCATGTTTTAAGTTAGTTATAAAAATTGAATGTAGCATATATATTTATATATATCTGCCCATTTTCCCTTCTGAGTAAAAGGAAGAAATATTAAGGATGTATGTATTTGAGTAAATTGAAATCTACTTACTCGAGTAATTTTTCTGTTGAGAAATTTTAGTAAGAAGGACGCCTTTAAAGTCTTATACACTTGACACTCATGACACTAGTATCTATATTTTATTTGCTATAAAGGCTGGTGTCCTATGTATGTAAACTACATATTATGAATTGCATTGTCATGGGTTTCTTTGTAATTGACATGCATTAATATGTTTAGAAAACGAGACAAAATGAGATTTCCTAGTAGAAATAAATTAATATTTTAGTTTGTGAAGCAGATAGTCAGGTGATGTTACTAGGTAATGTAAGAAAGCCATAATTGTATTTAAAAAAATAAAATAAATAAATGATTGAACTAGAGTGTAATGGAGCAAAACTAATTTATTGGTTCAGACATTCAAGCCGTTTTGAATGCAGGAATGTAAATTGTTACTGTACAAGAGCTACATATCATAAGTGCAAAGATATATGGGTATATTATTTGTTATCAATTTAAGTGTATATAGCGTGCATAATAAGAAAGAAAGGATGTCTAAAGCTTTATTTCATGAATCTTGCACAATGAGTTCAAGAACTTCATATCATAATTCATGTCATGCATTTAAAGGATTGTAAACTGTTAATTAGTTGTGCAATAGTTCATATTATGAAACATGAAACTAAGATCTCATGTGAGCTCTATCTATGACTATTTTATTGTAATGATATTGACGTTTTGTGCAATTTGAAGATTGGATATATAATCTCTACCAAACAAGAGCTATATTGTTACTTGTTTTAGGAGATTATTCTTTAGCTTTATGACTAATATTTTGCGAATGTTTTTAAGGAAAAGTTGCAAATATTTGGTTTGATAAACACGTGCACCAACCATCTCCTCACAACAGGTGATCTTAACAAATAAATAATTTGTAAGATCATATATTTACTCAAGAAAAGCTTGATATCTTTGAAATGTGGGGGTATTAAAAATATTGGGTATCTGTATGCTTTATCCATAATTATTCATAATTATTTTGGAATTGACACATTTATCAAAATGTTCACATTGAATATGAAGTTTGCAGGTGAAATGCAAGAGTTAAATGAATTCATAAGCTCGAACGTATTACTAAAATCAATATTAAAATTTCGTATATTTATCTTATTAAACTTATATATGTGATATTGACATTTTGAAAAAATTCATAAATGACTTTGCTGATATGCAAATGGGCAGGTGAAGAAGAAAAACTTTACAAATTAATGGTACCAATTTATTGTCCAAAAAGGACAAGAATATATGTAGTCCGAGATGGACATACATAAATCATTGAGGAGGATGGGTTTTAGCCTAAGGGAACCACCTCAGGGAGTAACCCAACCTTCATGATTGGAGATCCCATGAAGAAAGTTCAAAGTGGTAGAAACAACTTGCACTGCGTGACTCGTAATAATACTACTTATATTGTGCTCATCCCTATGGTGATAGTGCTAATGACAATGTGATGTTAGGAA